TGCCTTAATAATATACATTTCATGCTAATTGGTGGGTGGGACTTATAAACGACGCACATTTACGAAAGAGCCAATCATGAACCAAAAATGCCGATTGTTCACCCAAATAAAACCAATTTTGACTCGTTTAAAAAAATAATATTATCATTGGTTTTTGAATGTCGATTGATTTGCCAATAATGGGCCTTCACCAATTTCAACTTCAAGCTCTAGCTCCATGACAATTACATGCCACCTAATTGAAAAGATGGTCCGGCTTTTATAAATCTTTAGTTTAATGTATACACTCTAAGCTCTCCAGTCGAGAAGAAAGAGACGAATCCTAATTTATAATGTTTTTAATTCTCTATCAAATGTAAGTATAACCTACTTATACTAAACCAATCTATTTATCAACATATGATCCCAACATCGGAAAAAACTATGGAGCAAAGGTTTGAAACTTAAATATTATCCAAAAAACCTAATCCTAGTTTACATTTTAGTATTTTAGTGATCATAAAAGTTTGTAGAAATGTGATTTTTGCTCAAGACATTCCGCAAATCAATCAAGTTTAGTTTTCTTTGTTTGGTAATTCTGCCTTTCGTTTCTTTTTCATGATATTGTAGAGTCAATGTACTATATGTTTAGAAAGATCCACAAATTGGACATAAAACTTCCGCATTTAAATATTCGTATCACATATGCCAATACAATATAGAAACTGTATACAGTTAAGAATTTCTGGAGATTCACAATCACAATATGCTCTACTAGTTAACAAAAAAAAGTTGGAATAGAAATATATAAAGCTCTTTTCGTTTCCAAACAATATTAGTAATTAAAACCACAGTGGTCTTTCCCAACAAATTCGAGTGGCCACTTAGATGATGGCAAAAGCAGCCAATACATCATTTTTTAATCACAACATCAAATCTTTTTTCCATGGCCATAGATTTAGATTTATTTAATTGTAGTTTGCTTACGCCTCTTTTTAATTGTATCGATTATAAATATAAGTTGTGACAAAAAAAAGAT